ATGTAGAAATAAAATTGATTTTCATCCTCATCAATCATTGGGGTGAGGATAATATCTGCCAGCATAAGTAATAAGCAGGCTAAGTTACAAGGTGCTCAGTTCAAAAATTAGTAGGTAGGTATGTTACTTTTCAATACGTGACACGTAAAAATTAACAATAATCAAAAACACATCTGCGAAACATCCTATTTATTTATTTATTCTTTATTGCACCAAATATTTGTACAAAAGGCGAGCTATCTATTTATTTACCTATTGTGAATAGGTATCTTTTAAACTCACAATTTTCAATGCTTCATTTTTAATATATAATTAATTATAAAATTTCATAATTAGATAATATATGAAAATACATAATTCTAATATAATGCAACTAATATACCGAATAAAAAAATTAAAATACATTTATCGTTGTATGCTGTGTGTATTTCCATAAATTAGTTTATTGATGTTGAAAAAATAATACTACGTTCGTACCTACAATAGGTGGCGTCTTACTTATTTCATAAGCAATATATTGAAGCGAGCGGCGCGCCGCGTCCAAATGCTCAAGGTCGTTCACATGGAGTAGCCCCTTAATATGCGCGTCGTATTAATTTTGTTTCGACGTGGGCTAATTTCACGAACGTCGCTTCAGAGACGTGCAAGACGACGTATTATAAATATTAGCGACGTTCTAACTAGGTTTAAACCCGCAATTTTCCTATCACTGTCTGATCCTTCTGTTTTTTTACTATTATTTATTCTGTGCTAAAACTGACTATCCTTAGATAACATTAAGTGTTATAGTCAAATCAATAATATTAAAAGAAAAGGCAGTATTGTTTCAGAAAAAGAACTTTCTTTTGAAATAATTTTATTGCTGAATTACATTTACGTCTACGCAAATTAATAATTTTACAAACTTATGGTACTTTTATCTCGTATATTATGAGCATGCACTACTACAGACATTTTACGCCGTCACTAATAAATGACTTTAATTAACAATTTTTAAAGAAATAAAAATATATTACAAGTTTTAGTTTAAATTAATCGTCATAAAGATATTGTTTGATGTTCCATACATCATCATTATCATCATTACAGCCTTTCATAAGTCCACTGCTGAACATAGGCCTCCCCCAAGGAATGCCACAAAGCACAGTCCTGAGCCACCTGCATCTATCGACTTCCTGCATGTCTTACCAGGTCGTCACTCCATTTCTCTTCTTACATCAATCCAATGAAAAAGATTTCATCAAGAAAGTACTTCCTCACATAGTTGATGGAGTTAACTTCAAATTGACAGTTGATAAATAAAACTTAGACATAGAGTGAATGGACTGTGCGTTCCGTATTCAGTTGTGCAGTGAATACAGACCGAAAAGTGTCAGGGAGACAGTGCCAGTGCGGCCAATAATAGTCTCTTTCTAGAATTCTGATTGGTCCGTCACTGGCTTGCAGAATGTGGACCAATCAGGCTTGCAGGAAAGAGACAGATATTGGACGCTCAGTCGCTTTCTCTTTCTAGAAGATGGTCACTTTTGTGAGGCTAACGCTCAGTCCATTAAAACTTAACGTGTTAATTATCTATTTTTAATCTATGCTAGTAATGTTACCCCTAATAGTACATGCTCAATTGTATAATTAAAATAAATTATGGTTAATAATTATCGTAAATATTTACATCAAACCTAATAAAAAAATATGCAGACTATAAGGCCTTTAAAAGATAGGCAATCTTGGAATGTTTGCACATATTTATTGCATTTCGTCAGTCAGCCTGTATTGTCTTAAATTAATTATATCTTAATAGTATCCATTATACTTTATTAGACAAACTAGCTTTTATCCGCGACTTCGTCCGCGTAGATCTTAAACAAAAAAGAACTACCATATATAAACACCCATAATACCATAATGAACAACCCATAATAACTCTTTTGTTTGGCAATGTTTGGTAAAATGGTGTAAATAAATGTTAAATATACATTTTACGTCAAAACTAAGTGATAGAAGAAAAAGTGTAAGTACCTTTTTTGTGAAAACCAAAACCGTTTTGCTAGAAACTTGTTTTATATCTCTAATAATTTATAAGGTAACCTTTAAAAACCATTTATTTTATCAGTTTTTCATTTTTACAAAAATTCTGTTTTTCGAACAAAATATAATCTGGATCACCACAATTGGTGTTTATCTGTTCGTGAAGTTTCATCACAATCGCTTCAATAATTCCGGAGATTAGCCTGGACAGACAGACAGACATACAATTTTTTTTAAATAGTTATTTCTTAATTGGTAACAAATAACCCCTTGAGTTTAATAGAAGTTATTTCGATATTGCAGACGGACACTTTAAATTTACTTTTATGTACAAATTTATATTTATATATATTATTTGTCAATTATTTGTAATTTTATACCAGTTTTAATACATTGTAATAGGGGGTTACTTATTACTTTATTTAATAAATAAATAATTGCACTTTCTGAATGGTATATGAATATAATTATTGAAAATAACATTTAAGTAAAACTAACGGCTCATTATTGGGTAGATGTATAAACTATTTATAACAAGATTCCCTGTAATATTGCCGATTTACCTTTGCATAAATTCAAAGCGCAAGTAAAAAGCATTCTTATGGAGAAAGAGTAAGAATGTGACTATTTAAAAGATAAAAATGCATGAACATATTAAGCTTCCATAGACTATATAAGTATATATATTTTATATGGTTTAATTGTAAATGTTGAGAGAAAAATGGTCTACATGTGACTATCTTACCGCTTCTTCTCACAAGTTCTCCCCACATTAGGAACTTGTTGTAGCAAAGGCGTAGTAGCTTTTGTCTTTCAGAAAGTGCTTTGTAAAAGCCAATTTTGCATAAAATTATATGACGGACTTTAAGTAACAATATGCTTACATTTAGTCATTGTTTACAATAAAAAATATTTCGGGTATTGCTTAAATCTGTGACAGAAATTCTTTACAGGTCAAAGAATAATTAAATTATAGATATCTTAAATTATAATAAAAATTAAAAAGCGTTCGTGGGCGGGAATAACAGGACTTGTAAAATTAGTATTGACATTTTGCAGCTGCTTGCATACAAATGTAATGCAATGTTTGTTGTTTTATAACCTAAGACTTTTTCTGGTGTAAGTAAATTATTTTAAAATTAACCAATATTTTAAAATGAAGAAATAATAACATACAAAATGTAATAAGTATATAAAATACAAACAGTTGAATATATTAGGTATCTTTAGGATAAAACCGACAATGCGTAAATAAATCAAATTAAATCTTTAAAAAAGAAATTTCACGTCCTATCATCTATAATTATCTTACAGATTTAATTCATAAATAATTTACTTGAAAACAAAAACAACATGCAGCTTTGCCAAAATGTATCTGATTAGTCTATTTTTATTTATTTTAATCATATTTAAATAAAACAAAAATATAGGAAATAACCTCATTATAAGATATTTGGGGAAACAACCCATTATAAATGGGAAAATCCCCAAATATTTTATAACGGGGAAACCCATTATAAGTTATTTAAGGAAGCAAAAATTATAAAATATTATATGAAATCTGTCGGGTCTTGTGACTAGATTAATATTCTCAAAAATTCGCATTCATATTCTAAAAAAAAGCACTGTTAATTGTGACACCCTAGCAAAATATAACATATTATGTTATGTTGCTGTGACAACTAAAAAGGTGTACTTCTAACGAAATAAAAAAATTTCTTAAGTTTTTGTACAGTCCCATTACTTAATCTAATTGTAGAATTTATTATAATAATGCAATGCCAAAAGCATATACAAAACTTGTATAAAAAGGACTACACAAAATAGTTGCAATTATCATCATTCTATAAATTACACTTAGGGCTGATTTTTTAAAGCTCAGACAAAATGTCTAAACTACTTCACGAATTAAATTACTTGCTGATTAACTATCTGATGTCAAAAGAATCAAAGAAAACTGAGCATTTGGCGAATTTTCATACAGCTGAGGTTAAATCAATAACCATATACATTATTTCTTTATCTTTTTCTTTTAATTTATAGTTTCCCTTGATAGAACTCTGTCAAATCAATTCAGTCATGGGAGTGGCAAGTAAATCTTCTAATATATTAAATACAAGTAGCATATAAGCAATTGGAAATTTACATTTCTATTTTGTTTTCGATTTTATATCTTATCAGAGTAAGTAAATTTCCACAGTTTTTAAGGTCTTACACCACAATAATAATAAAAAATGAATTCCACGAAGTAATTGTGCCTGGGTCTGTCATTTTATTTTGTTATTTTTTTTTAGATGGATTTATAATTTTTCACTTCTTCCTCAATTGCTAGGTAATCAACACTATCAAAATCATCGCGCAGAAAAAGTTATTCATTAGTTAGTGTTGTTAAGCTTATTTACATTTGCAGGCAGATACTACAGGCTTATTTTTCAAAGAGTAGGAGTCAGTTTTTTAAAATACGCGGAAATAAGGCTTCTACTTTTATTTGAAATTATCCCAAATTGAATGTGATTTATGGCCAATATAGTTTTTGCCTACCGATCGACCCTTACGAATATGTGGTAAAATCAGTTCATTATTAGGCATTTTGCATTTAAAGGATAAAAATAACAGAATATTTGAGTTTTTTTTTTAATTAACTTTTCTTCACTATTTGATTATATCACTTATTTTAATCCTTCTCTGCAAATTTGGCCGCTTATTGCAAAATAACCCAGTATATGTGACAGCTATGTCTGTCACATATAGTACAGGACAGACGTAAAAATATTATTACTATCATTATACTATTTACATCTAACGTACGTCAGCGTAGCGATTTATTCGTGAAATAAAGCCCATCTGACGAATGAAAAATGCCTTTTTTTACTATCTGTCTTTTTATCTGAGGCTTAAAAAATCAGCCCTTTGTTTTATACTTGTACTGCTGAATAGTAAAAAGAAGAAAAAAAGTTCATGTTTTGTGGCAATCTTCACATTATAATCTGTGGTTCTGGGACAGACAAGGCTATAGACTTGTGGGGTAGCACCTGGCCCCCATTGACATAGAGCTCGTCTTTAACAATGACATCTTCACCAAGGACTGTACAATTTTCCATTCGCACCCATCTTCCTACCACAGACCTCCAGCCAACAATGCAGCCGTCCAACCACGCATGTTGGCGCACACAAGCACCACGCAGAATGGTACTGCGCTTTATGCATGCACCTGAAAAAAATATTAAAATTTCGATGATTGCGTAAATTAATATTTCTAAGAGAATGTAAACAATTATAATTTTATAGATACAGTGGACGCAATACTACAAAGTGATCCGTTTGATACTCTCCGTCGCATGGGTATGATGCGAGTCTGTAGACGCGTACCTTAAATGTACTAAAAATAACGTATTTTCATTTTTCAATGCCGGCAAATAATTGATACGATGACGCCAGACCAGAATTTTAGACTGGTGAACGAGGTCATCATTGCTTTCTAACGCTTTCTTGGATGGCATTAGGTTCAAGGTAAAATTTGGTTTAACATAAAAATGGTTATAACTAAGTCTAGTATTGGAACTTAGAACACGCGTCTCAATAGATAGAGTGACTAGGCCTGAGCCTATATCGTCCTCGCCCAACAAATAAGACGTCACACGATATTTATCTACACTTATAGTGAATCCCTAAGTAAACCTAATATGACTTAAGGTAAATGGTAAACGTGATGTTATCATAAAACGTTATGTATACTGAGTTGTGATATGACGACGCAAAACGGATACATGAACAATTTGTTTGACCTTGAGCCTAATGTGTTATTACAATTTTTCATCATAAAATTTTAATTAAAATAATTATTGTTATCGATCCGATTTTAGCAATGCAATATATTGAACATTATTTTAAGCATCCCGTACACAACGTAACAAAATTTGAGATTTAAGAAAAATTCTGTAGTCTTATCTTGAGTATTCACTCAAAATAAGTTTTCATAGAGAATACTAGACAAAAAAATTGTTATAATCATTACCAAAAATAATGTAATACCCAAAAATAAATAATAATTGCATGACGTTAAATAATAACATAAAATTTACATAAACTTATTTAAATGACTGGTGCACATTAAAAATATATAATAGTTGAATTTCTGGTTGGAATACACTGACCTCCATATATACTAGTACGCCGGGCGGGCTATACCCTATAAAACGTTCCCACGTGATGCCGAAACATATCATTATTACGTTATTCCCTAACCCATCAATATTAGGTTTATATTGTAGATACAAAATTTGCTCATTCACCTTGGATTTATCAAAATTTTTAGTTCTTATAGCATTATTATTATAGTTATCACTAATTAACACATGTGCCATGTAAGCTTAGAGGCTGAGAATTTACTTGATTATGATGTCATAATAAACATGTAAGAAACACAGTATAATTGCCGGTGCCAGTAGCACTGAAATATTACTCACTTACTCGCAATTGTGTTTGGCGAGGAAGTAACTTTAGTTGCAACATGCATAAAAATTACATTAAAATTGTTCTGAAAGCATAAATTCAATATACTCTCAAATAAAGAAAGAAGACTAGTTTCTTTCATAATGGTTTTCAAAGCTAACAAAATTATACTGAAAATTTATACTACAACATAAATTTAATCTTGTTAAAACTGTATAATCTGTTCTAGTGTAATGTGTATCTAACATTAACAACGTGTTTTTTTCTTTATTTGGAACAGTAACTTAAGAGTTACCTTAACTCATAACATAATACTACTATATTCATAGGCCAATTACAGCTAATTACATTCTTCAAATAAAGCATTGCATTATTTAAATACACAGCCCTACTGTACAAGCACTTCAGCACTTTGACATACCGACAGTCAACTTGGCACCGCTGAAGGGACTGCAGCACCGCCCAAATTTCGACGGAATCAAAGGCTTTTTCATAGTCCACATATGCCACATAGTGGCAAATTGTAATCCTCGGGCGTCTGTACAACTTGCCGAAGGGTATGTATGTGGTCTATGGTGCTAAAGCCCTTTCGGAAACCGGCTTGTTCGGGAGGCTGGAAGTCGTCAGGGCTGCGCGCGAGACGATTCGTAATGACTCTCGAAAACAGCACGTAGACGCGGCTCAGAAGGGAAATCGGTTTATAGTTCTTCAAGAGAGCGTTGTCACGTTTCTTGAAGAACAAGACCACCGCACTTCTGCTCCACCCCTCCGGTGTAATACCACCACAGAGGACGGAATTAAAGAGCTTCCGAAGGGCTTCAAGTACCGGTTTTCCACCCGCTTTCAGAAGCTCCGCTGTAATTCCATCCTCGCCTGGGGCCTTGTCGTTTTTAAGGTGCTGGAGAGCCTTTCTAATCTCGCTCAGACTGACGTCCGGGATATCTTCGGAATAGTGTCTGATAAGACTCGCTCTTGGATCGTTACTCACACTTGCGTGTGACTCCAACGATGACGTGTACAGCTGCCCATAGAACCTCTCAATCTCACTCAAAATCCCAGGTGCCCCGGACACGATGCTGCCACACTCGGTCTTCAGCTTTGACAGTTGGCTCCTTCTGGCAGACAGATCTCTGGCAAAGACTTTGGAGCCTTGGTTCCACTCGATCGCTTCATCAATACAAGCTGTATTGAAGTCGCGTAAGTCCCGCCGCATGCATTTGGAGATTTGTCTGTTCAGTTGCCTGTATGCTGTCAAATCTGTTGAAGAATGTAGCTTCATCTCCTGTCTAACAGCCATAAGATTAAGAGTGTGATCGGAGTTTTTTGGGTTCTTCTGCGGCGGGTCTTGCAGAACTTAGCTCCGACCGCATGTACAGTTTCCACGAGCTTGTCATTCATATCGTCCACTTTATTGCAGTTTTCTAGGCACTGAAAACGGTTTTGTAACTCGAGCTGAAAGCTTTCGGGACTTTGGAACAGAGCACGAGGGGGACGGAGCGTTGACTTCATTAGACGAGACCTCTCCAACTTAACGTTTAGGTTCAGTGTGCCTCTAACCATTCGGTGATCGCTACCAGTTTTCACCCTCGCGATCATGGAGACATCACTGAACAGTTGTCGTCTGGTCGTCATAATGAAGTCAATCTCATTTTTTGTCGAACCGTCGGGGCTCGACCAGGTCCACTTCCTGTGAGGCCGCTTCTTGAAGAAAGAGTTCATCATAAAGCATCCCTCTTTCTCCATGAAGTCAGCCAGCTGCTGGCCCCTTGAGTTCCGTTGCCCTATTCCGAAATTCCCTACTTTCAGCTCACTGTTCTCTCTTGTGCCTAGTTTTGCATTGAAGTCTCCCACTAACACTGTATATTGGGTTTTGGAGGAATGCATGGTTCTAGAGATATCCTCATATATTTCCTACACCTCCTCATCGGGGTGTGCAGAGGTTGGTGCGTAAACCTGTATGACCTTCAGCGAATTCCGTTTGGTGATTCTGAGTATAAAGTACGCAACCCTCGTCGACACACTCTCAATCTTTACAACGTTGTTAACTTGAGACTTGTGGACGATAAATACGATACCTCCTTAGGGACAGATGGTCGCCCTCCCGGTGATAGAGCAAGTTGCCGGATTCGAGGATTACTGTGTCCTCCCCCTCTCTTCGGACTTTGGATAATCCTATAATATCTCTTCTTCCAGCTCCACAATCTTCTCGTCAGTCCTCAGGGTGAGTGTGTTGTATGTTGCCAGGTCGAGTCGTCTTAGGTGGCAACCGAACCTTTACCGGAGATTCTTAGCACCCCCTGCCCCACCGTTACCATGGTCACCACCGTAGCCAGGAATAGCGCGGCCGCCGGGGACTGGGGGACGTCTCTTTGTTCCATTCATAGGAGGGTATTTGCCGTAGCTGCCACGCTTGGCGAGCGGGTTGGCAACCGCAGTTTCTTTTTTTAATTGTATTTTTGCTGTTATCAGGAAGATGCTGCTGCCCATCTCCTGCCTGTTTCCCTTTATCGCCTTTTACGACACCCACGGGAAGATATGGCGTAATGGATATTCTTAACCGCCACTACAAGGCACACTCACCTTGTATCTTGTTCAAAATAACTTAATGACGTATCGAAACACTTAAAAACTTCGCCTCTTAAAATTGCGCGGGCTTTCGCCAGGTGAGTAGTTTAAAAAAAATGACGTCTGTCGATAAAATAGTTGAAGATATGTACTTAACTGTCGGTATAGTCAATAGCATAAAAGTTCCTGTGTTGTTCAATAAATGGCATTTAACCAAAAAAAGTATTTATGCCGCATAATTTCCATTTGTCACACTTGCCCCACTGTTACACTTGCCTCGGTCTACTTTACCTATTACACATCATGCAAAGTGTGTGTGAGAGCGCACGTGCGACTGCGTGCATCCGTGCGTGCATGCGTGTGTATGTGTGAATGAGTGTGTACATGCGTGTGTGGGTGTATGTTGCAACATACGATCTTAAGTTTGGTGTATGAAAACATACTGTAATAATATAGTAAATAACTTACCATCCTCAATAACAACATCAGGACCAATGGTAACATTGGGTCCAATGCGACATCCTTTACCGATTTTTGCTGTCGGATCTATTAAAACATTGCCTACTACACCGGTGCCGTCGTGTAATTTATCAGAATTCTTCTGTCGTAAACTGTTTAGATATAGACACATTCCTAAAAATTAAAACAATGTTGATTATTGATTGTTCATCATTATCACAACCCAACAGAGTCCACTGATCATCATAGGCCTCCCTCATAGGGCAATATTTGCTAAATTTTTCACGCTTGGCAGGCAGGTTAGCAAGCTAGATTTTTTAAATTATTTTGTGTTATTTTCAGGATACCCATCTCCTGTTTCAGTTTCTCTCTGTCGCCTCTTACAACACCCACGGGATGATATGGGGTAGTTTATTCTCTTATGCCGTCACTACAGTGTAATCTTATTTATCTATATGTTTAATATGTTACCAGTTATTATTAAATTACAAATAGATGTAAGAGCTTGATTATATTTTTTTGTCTCAACAAACCCTACAGTTACATCATTTCAAATATTATAATGTATGTGGTAGAGCCATGCTATGGCTATATTGTGGTTGCAGCATGAATGGGTCAGTTCATTTGGGATAGGACCACACTCTCACAGAATACCAGCCTAATTATATATATATATATATATATATATATATATATATATATATATAGCGGCTTAACACTGCTGTGTTTCGTATGGTGAGGGTAGAGAATCGGAGACCCTTTTTACTGGAAATGAGGCATTCCATCTCAGTCCTCATGGGTGACATCGCAGCTGCATTTTGATACTTAATTGAGGATAAATGTAGATGTCTATGGGCTACAGCATCCACTTACCATCAGGTGGACTGTGTGCTCGTTTGTTACCCTTATTTTATAAAATTTAATAATACCAAAGCTTATATACATGCAGTAAACTAAACCACTTAACCAATTCATCGAAAAAGCCGAGCCTTAACCTCATATATACTGGTGATTCAATCAATCTTGTTTATCGGAATTAGTGCAGGCTTACGAAAAGTTACACAAATATGTATGAACTAATTATCAGACGGTGCAAATATTGTGTGGCAGCATCGTCACCCTACTGGGACTGTGGTTAGATTTGGTCTACTATAATAGCTCTGCTAGATAATAAGACGACTTTTCTACTTAATGTAATATATTTTATTCAAGTGTTGTATTTATGTGACTGAAGAAGCAATTCATGTTAGTGATTCACTGTTTTCTTTATGGTCCTACTATCTGGAGAATAAGAGGCCAAATAATCATTTTCTTAAACTCAAATATGTTTTTTGTTAACAAATAGTGATATTTCCTGTTAACAAATAGTGTGATTTCCCTTTCAATGTCCCGTGCACTACATATAGGTCACTGCTATTGTCTTACTATTGTGTTTGAAAACCGGACAGTGAAAGTGTTAAATGAAGTAATCTTGGTTGTTAACAAATTGTAATTGTATCAAAACAAATACTTTATTTTTAAGAAGATTACAAAACGAATCAGGTACAACTTTACCTGTTAGGAAGTCTTTAGGTTGTCCTACATCCATCCAGAAACCTTGCAGATCCATTGCATACAACTGTCCATCTTGTGCCATAAATGGGAAAACTTCTTTTTCTATAGACATTGGGCGGAGCTCAATTCTATTTAGTACTGAAGGATTTAGTATGTACATGCCTAGAAAAAAAGCAAAAACGTTCTGAATACCATTTTATCTATAACTCAATAAAAATACAACTAAAATTCGTGATATGAATACAAGGGAAAAAAGAAAGAAACATTAATTCTTTATACTCGATCCACACTTGTCCAAAAATATTAGGAAACATTTTAGTATGACTTTACATGGCTCAACACTATGCATTGCTCAGTTTAGTATCGGCAATATTAATCTATACTCATTTATTGGTTTAAAAAGAACTAAGAATAACCTATTCTATATTAGAATACTGAATAAGAATATATATCATCATTATTATCATTACAGCCTATCCCAAGTCCACTGCTAAAGAAAGAATTCTCAAGAAATGTGCAGTCCTGGCCCTCAACAATATCCTAAATCTTATTATGTCGAGATTTAGTAAGGATTCATGACAATTAGTGAAATGATACTTTAGGAGACAGTCTTTTGGAGGGGGGGGGGAGGAATTCCAGCTTGAATTCAAGCTAGCAGCCTCCTCTCAAAAACACTAGTATTATCTTTGTCTGAGATGTAATTATTACTTTAAGACTTTAGTGACTAATTAGTGAATTTCATATATCAATATTGAAACATATTTGTCCAATGGGAGGGTTCCAGTTTGTATATCATAGAATAACTCCAGAACGCCTCTTTAAAATTACTTACCTATAAGTAATAATAAAACTAAATCACACCATTGAAGTGATAAAAGTAGCTAGACTTATAAGATGAGATAGTTAAATCAAACCACCTTAATATTTAATCAACATGGTTTGATTTAATATGCTGTAATTAATTTATTAATTAATTTTATTAATTTTTTTTTGTTTAAAAAAAATGTTAACCCACACTAGGATTTTCTCCTGTGTCGTGGGGGCAGTTTACAAACATAAATTGCACAAGGACAAACATCCAGACCCGGAACAATTATTTGTAGGCCATACAAATACTTGTTCCGTGCGGGATTCGAACCCACGGCCCCCCAGCGCAACAACTGATTGCTAAGCCACTGCACCACGGAGCCATCAATTGCATAAATTATTAAAGAACACTCACCAAATCCCTTTTATTTTATGGAACCCCACATCAATTGATTACATGTCATAGACAGTGCAATTGAAATATTATAATTTTACACTACCTACATACCTATCAACATAACAGTAATAGGTTCTTCTCATCACATATGTTGCGCTATTTCAAAATAATATTTGTACCTAAGCTTAAGTGTCAAATTATTTAACAACCAAAAATAAATAATTTCAAAGAATCCTGGTGACTTTTCCAAAGAACCCTTAGGTTCTGCGGAACCCACTTTAGGAATCTGTGCCTTAAGGCACACCATACAAGATAGGTTGATGATCACTAACAAAATTATCTATTACTATTGTCTGGTTTCTATTTTCAAGGTAGCTATCAAATAGTTTTAAGGCAGTACCCCAAATACCAATCTTCTCTAACTTATCCATAGCAGCTGGAAATAGACAGTGTAAAACACTGTCACAAATTCAAGTAATACTGCTATATATTTATTATTTCATTATAACAATGAGTTGTTAAAACATTTACATGTAAGCAAACCATATAAAAAGTACTTGCATGCTCAAAACTTACCAGCATTAATTTTGTTTGAAATAAATTCCTGGGGCTTTTCAACAAAACTTTCAATTTGACCATTTTCTTTGTAAACTACAACACCATATTTACTTGGCTCTTCTACTTTGGTTACTACTATAGTACCTTCCTGGGGAAAAAGGTAAATGAAGTGCTTAAATATATTTAAAACAGTATTAAAAATGAAATAAACTAATTTTACAGATTTTATAGTGATTAATTTAAACTTTTTTAATGGCCAACATTTAGGGTACTTCACTGTATAAACATAGATAAAAAAAGGAATGTGCAACTTGCTCACATCCAATCTGTCATAGAAATGTTCGTCAATATCATTCAGTATACTCTTTTTATACTTGTTTTTTATAAACATCAACAGTTTTGAGTTAATTTTGGTCATGATATTATAAGAAAGAAAATAATTTGATGGTAAATTTCTATTATCCTTTCACATCCCTTTTGTTTATAAAATCCACCAGTTCTATTAACCGGATGTACTTTTGGTGGTTGGTTATTTATTCACTGCTTGGGGAGCGGTTGCATCAGCAAGTTGTTTAAATTGGCAGCTATTTTGGCTCAGTGCTCACTTAGCGGTCACACATTGCTGAGTCTATTTCACATAATGATACCTCGTTTAGATGTGAAACATGTGTTTTACTATTAACAGTGGTATGTCTTTCCTAGTATAGTGATGTTGGGATTAGTTGTGAAGGGGTAGTGCATTCAATTGAGGGTGGGAGATGTTCTTTTTATTTTATTTTTACACAGGTCTTAGCTAATAAATTTTAACATCTTTAATATTGGATTTCCACAAACTAATGCCTAATTCTATTAATTTTATATTATATGTAATTGGTTTCTTTGAAACTCCATCCATGCATCCATTACAGCCTATCAAAAGCCCACTGCCGAACATAGGCCTCCCTCATAGATTGTCTCATAAGTAATATCCCAATATTTGCCATTGTTGCCACACTTGTCAGGTAAGGTTGGCAACTGTTGGTTTTTATAATTTTAAGCTATTATTATTAAGATGCTGGTGTCCATTTCCTGTTTGATTTCACTCTGTCACATTTTAAGACACTGGGATTATACTCTTACACTGCATCTTAAACTTAAACTTGGGGAGTAAATTCTCTTACACAGCAACTACACAATCATTATCAATAAGTTCATTAATTAATATCTAAATAAAATATTTAGGACTTGACCAGTCACGCATGCATTACTGTCAATAGGGGTAACTTTGATTAACAAGGGTAACTTTGACAGTCAAATCGAAAAATACATTTTTATTTTTTACACACACAACATTTAGTGCATAACATAAAATTTTTACAATTCGTGTACTTAACAAACTTCGTAAACAAACTCTCTGGGAAAAAGAAGCTGTCTTACGAAATTAATATCAAAAACTTATATAAAATTATCACACACAACTGTTGTCTTTTTGCAGTTGCAAACTTTTAAAATTTTAAATGTGATTACCAAAGAGTTTAAATAAAGATAGAACTACAACTTTATGGTTTTATTGACTTGTCAATGACTCCACAAACTTAAACTTATGTTACCCTGAAGCTATAAGTTTAAAAGATAAGATTCCTGCAACAAATCTCATCTGTGTCAAAGGTATCCATATACATAGGCTGCACTAAAAGTATCGGGAATGGAATATTTCCACTGTTCCTGTCACATATTAAAATCTTTTTAATTGAAAAGTCCTTGGTTTTTTAAAATTGAATACCATTTATTTATTTAAATTCTCGGTCTTGTCACAAAGTTTTGTCAAACTTCCCTACAAGTCGTTGAGAAAATGGAATTGACTCAAGAAAATTCAAGAGCGATGATTTATTATGACTTTCGAAGTGGTTTAACACAAAAACAGTGTGTTGACCGGATGATTTCTGCATTTGGTAATGAAGCCCCATCCAAAACCACAATTTATCGCTGGCTTGCTGAACTTCAACGTGGAAGTGTCAAGCCCAGTGATGATCCCCGTCAAGGTCGTCCAAAAACTGCAGTCACCCAAGAAAACGTTGATGCTGTGCGTAAGCTGATTGAGGAAGATCGACATGTGACATACCGCAAAATTCAGGCAACTTTAGACATTGGCATGAGTCAAATACAAATAATTTTGCATGAACAATTAGGTGTAAAAAAGTTGTTTTCCCGATGGATACCGCATTCGCTCTGTGAAGAGCAAAAACCGGCTCGCGTTACTTGGTGCGTCAGAACTCTCGAAAGATTCAACGCAGGATCCTCAAATGCTGTATACAACATCGTATCAGGTGACGAATCCTGGATATACGCGTACAAACCCGAAACAAAAAACCAGTCACGAGTTTGGGTGTTCGAAAATGAGTTAAAGCCAACGAAAATTGTTTGTTCACGGAGTGTTGCAAAAAAAATGGTGGCCACGTTTGTCTCCGAAACCGGCCATGTTACGACTATTCCTCTTGAAGGACAAAGAACGGTTAATGCAGAATGGTATGCTAGCATTTGTTTGCCACAGGTCGTTTCTGAACTCCGTAAAGAGAACTGCAACCGCCGCATCATCCTCCATCACGACAATGCGAGTTCTCACACAGAACAAAAGAGTTTTTAGAGGAAGAAAACATAGAATTATTAGACCATCCGCCGTACAGCCCCAACCTAAGCCCTAATGATTTCTATACTTTCCCTAAAATAAAGAATAAATTGTGTGGACAGAGATTTTCATCACCTGAAGAAGCTGTGGACGCCTACAAAACGGCCTTTTGGAGACCCCAACTTCCGAATGGAATGGTTGCTTCAAAGATTGGTTCCATCGTATGTAAAAATGTGTCAAATTTCACGGAGAATACTTCGAAAAGCAATAAATACATTTTTAAATAATAATGTTGTGCCACTTCCTTGATTCCCGAAAATTTCAGTGCCGCCCTCGTAGTTACACAAGTTATCCAGAAGAAAATTGTCAGTTTTTGATATTTTATGATTTTTATAGACTTTAAATATCTTGAGAGTATGAAAACCAACCTGAGAGCAAAGATTAAGTAAACTCTTTTGTCTCATATTTAACATAGTAAAAGTTAACTAAAAAAATATAGTGATGATCTGTCAAAGTTACCCCGATTGACCGTAGTAAGTTTGAATAAAAACAAATCTTACCTTTCCATGACTTTTGTGATATTTAGCAAGTTCTTTAAAAGGAAAATCACAAATAACATCAGAGTTTAACACAAAAAATGGCTCAGAGTTTGTATTAAGCAATTCTCTAGCTAATGCTAAAGGGCCTGCTGTTCCTAGAGGTTCAGTCTCATGAGAGAATGTTAGTGATACGCCTAATTTTGATACTTGCTCCTTCAATTCCTTTTCCATATCATCTGCTCTGTATGAAACAGCTAAAATAACCTTAAAAATTATAAATGAATTATTATTTTACTTAAAACTAGTTTTGAACATTATGTAGAACTTTTATTAGACACCTTTACCTAACCATTGATGTTATTAATTTAAAATTAAGCAATCATACTAAATATATAAAATTATGAATTTTAAGTATGCAAAATTTTGTTAAATTAAAACTTATTGTTTGGTAGGTAGATAACAAACAAAAATCTAGTTCGGACTACAAAATATTTATCAAAATTGATGAATTGAAAAGTAAGGTTTACCCAATATGATAATTAAGGGTAAATAAGTAACATATAAATGATATTGAGTATTAATACAGGTTTGGAGTAATAAAATAATATATAACAGTTACGGCAATGTAAATTTAATAAAACTCATACTTGTGTTACTCCCGCTTCCACAAGAGCTTCAATTTGATGCATAAGTATTGGTTTGTTTGCAAACTCCACAAGTGGCTTTGGCCTGCTTAAAGTCAAGGGCCGTAAACGAGTTCCATAACCACCAACGAGTATGAGGGCACGAATTTCCCCCAGTATTTTATCTGATCCACACATTTTAAAAGAACTGTTTAAAAATCACTCGTAATCTTAGGAAATCTTAGTGATAAGCAAATATCACCTTCCTTATTTCTTGTTTCTCAAAAGGTATTGGTGTATCCTCTAGTTAGAGATTAGAGTAATAAATTCCTTACGAGAGATTTTAATAAGACGTTTTAGGTTTATTTAACCACTTTTTATAAATTTTAGTAAACTTTGACCAGAGAGTATAGTTCCTTGTTGTTAATCGTACGTGGCGCTCTTTTGTTTATCATATCCAAAGAGTATAGTAACCGTCCTTATCATAACTGAAAAAGATCTACGGATCCATAGGCTTACATTTTTTAGGGTTCCGAACCCAGAGGGTAACCACAAACTAATAAGAAGTGGTAGCGTAAGGGTAACCAACGGGATCCTATTACTAAGCCTCCGCTGTCCGTCCGTCTGTTTGTCAGCGGGCTGTATTTCATGATCCGTAATATGTAGGATGTTGAAATTTTCACGGAATGAGTATTTCTGTTGCCGCTATAACAACAAATAATAAATGAAAATAAATTAAAAATCAACAGGGTCACCCTAGTAGAAACGTATTTTACGATGGTACGGAACCCGACATGCGCGAGTCGGACTCGCACTTGGCCGGATTTTTCATTAATACTTTTGGCTTGGATGCTTGTCCTATACGTCATGTCCTCATTTCATTCGGCATATTCGTTTTTATAGATTTTCATTATCAACTGATAATAATCCTCCTTTATAGTACACAGCTTCACAATATGTTGATGTGTAGTTTTTAGAAGATCTTGAGGGCAACTTGAGCAGGCAGACAGTTGGCGATAATATCTTAACTTATCTCGAGATTCACATCCCCATCGGAGCACTAGTTTCAACTAATAGTTCACATGCGCAGACATTTAAGTAAGTTTTTTTTGGAGCTTAAATTAAAGATTTAATATACACTGCTGCATACACTGCCCTTATAATTTAAGAATTACTCTTAAGTACTATTTGTATTTATCAACAACCATCGTAGTTTGATACCGCTGACCGTTCAAGCACCCCGCCATTTTTTTAAGCCCCAAACCATATGTAAGGTCGTCCGATACTGGCAGGCACTAATGTAAACAAAGATTTTTTTTTTACTTTTGTATGCACTGTTTAGCTTCTTCCTGGTACATTTTTTTTGAATAAATACTTTTTTTTATTTTCGATATAAAAATAAATATATTTTTATATAACCATATAACATAATTATATATTTTTTTTAATTTTTGAATTTATTCAGTTTCGTGTACTAAACTGATTTTGTTTAACCTTCTTACCACTCCGTTAAACAAGTATTACTATCATACTTACTATTACACACGGGTATTACTATTACTACGGGTATTATGATTACACGACACTGAATCAGGGCCCTGAATTATGGGTGGGCGTGGCGCCTAATTTATGGCAAATTATACAAAAGACGAATGAGTATAGCAGCCTAAATGAATCCTTCCAACGTGTCTGACTGCGTAGAAATTTAAATAAAACGAAATTCATGCTTAATGGTCACGTCATACCAGATTCAGACACAAACGGTACGACTACTTCACAAACTCAAATCTTTCAGGTTCACCTCTTCGATGCATCGAATAAAACATCGATGTTTACTCGATATTGATGAATTAATAAAACATCGGATTGATTCGATGAATCGATACTTTACATTTAGTGTTTTTAATACATCGATGTATATCTTCCATCGGTATTGCATTTATTTTATTCCATTTCCTCCGGTGCTCGAGTGCATGAGGCCACCAAAGAAAGTTTGCTGTGAGTTTTTTTTTTAGTAAATATTAAATAATCACTAATGACACTCTTTTTAAAAGTTATTTGCTTATATTTCTTCTCTTAACCACACAGGCCCCGACATTTTATATGACCAACTTAGTCAGAGCTATAGTCGACAATAGACTTAGAATATACTGGCTTATAGACCAACATAGTGTGCAAGGGATAAGAAAATTCCTTATGGCAAAAATGCAAGATAGGGAAGGGTATATATACCAAATCTCATGGCTCTGTAACCGATTTTGAATGACAGATATAAACGTAGTGATTATATTCTCTTTGGACAGATCGGCGCAATTCGGCCCGCAAGAAATAGCTCCTAGATATTTTGTAGTTTCTTTAAGTGTAATAGTGGTTATTTTTAGTAAGTAACTTTTTTCCAAAATGCTTACTTGTTCAATGAGTGATTGTGGTGTTAATAATAGAAATAATCCTGATAATTGCACATTTCACAGGTAAATTCTCAAGACGTTAATGTTATGAAGCATTTATTTTTGGTTAAAATGTATGTTATATTCTGTTTAAAATATAGAACGTTTTCAATTATTTTGTTTATTTTGATATTTTACAAAGATAAAAGACACGTTCTTGATAATTTGGGCTTAGTTTTCCATTGACGTCAGTGGAGTTTGGTGTTGATACGTATTTTTACAGAAAGATTACACTATTATAAGCGCACACACAAAGTCTCAATATACGGAAACGCGTAATTTTTGAGAAAAGAATAATTGAAAATCAATTATTCTTGCAATGTTTATGTCTAATCTGCTAATAAACTGGCGCCATTTTGTAATGTCATTGTCGACGTCAATAGGGTTGTCGATTCTTTCTGAAAAAGGTCCTTACTTTTTTTACACAGGAATATTGAACCAAAGTTACTTCTACAGCGGCTTCGGTGCAGCAGGGAGTACAGCCCCTTCGCCCTTGCGTTGCGTAACCTTGCGTTCCGCGCCTACGGTTTTATAAAAACACTTTAAGAGTAGGGCAGACAAGACTACGTGGAGTCGGGGCGTGCTAATTCAATTTTAGTACAGATTTGATCAGATATCTTATCTATAAAGCCAGGTTACCTTCGCTCCCGTCACATACTTCTAACCTATTACAACTGAAAGTATATCTGGGTGTTCAGGTATTTTTGGCCAGTTTTAAACAATTCTGAAATAAAACAGTATAATATTATAATAATTTCTTATTTGACACTTGACAGAGAGTACAGACCGTAGAATAATGTGACACTAGTGTTACGTCCTTGTCGCACTTACACAAAATTCTGTGTGCTATACAGCTTTCACAGTAATATTGCATACGTTTTTACATGTTTTACGCGTTTTAGGTTATAATAGTTTTTATTTATCTATTCGATAACGGTGCATTACCTTTTAATGTGAGTGGTATTATTATAATCGAGGACCAAACCTCTATCAAATAAAACACCTTACTCCTCCAAATTCCTGCCAAACGATTCTAAATCTAACCCTAGATAAATATAGAGACAGATTTTCATACATTATAAAACTGTAGTACATTAAAGACAAAAAAAATCTTGAGATTATCCTCTTTAAGCCATTATGAACCCAACTAAGTATCTATTTATCGCCCAAAATAAATGTATAATCTTACTTAACTAACCGCACAGCCTCACGGTCATACTAGTACAATATTTATAGCATCACGCTATTTTCCCCAAGGGGTTGAACGGAGCTTCGGAACTTCGGATTATATTCCTATTGCGCGCCACTATTAATGTCTTGTAAATGGCAACACTATTTACCACTAGCGCCCTCTAGTATCGAGTAGCAGAAGTAGGAGGGTCAAGATCCTTCTAGAAATTTCGGGACCGATATGTACTCGAAAATTCTAGATGTTTCTACAGTAGAAGGTCGTTATGGTTACACCAGCACCACCCATAATACAGATAAAGCATCCATCCGCATAAATACATAAACGCTGAGTATGTAGTAATTTAAGTAGACTGTAAGCTTAGGATTAAGGATTGTAAAAGACAATGGTCAGAATAAATTCGCATCTCTCTCTGTGAACACGTAGTTTGTATTTAGTTTTAAAAAAGCTCTCGGCAGCTCCCGCAACTTGACTGGCGCAGCCGGTAGGATCACCGGAAAAGCTGTGCCACCGTTCATGAATATCGCGTATACAATTCTACCCATTTTCGCGCATTGGCGGAAGATCCATACAGCGTGGTGATCCAGTGAACCAAAACAAATTCGTCGAGAATAAGGAGCCGTGAAGCTGATGATGGGCAGTGCGGGCTGGTGAGTACGACTCTTCACCTCCTTCATATCCCTTAGTAAACTTGGAATTAGACATTTTCCATTTTGACTGTTATTTGCGTTTCAAATACTAATCTTACGTAAATTTTATAAAGTATTAAGTGCAACAAATAACTATTACTTGAATAAAAATTAAAATAATATTAATTATTTTAATTTTTTGTCCTATAAAAAAAAAAAAATTAATTGTAAGACGTACATAATATTAAGTCCCATATTACTCAATAAAGTTATAGAGTATATTATATTAAGTATTATACATTATATTAAGTTCTTATTGTGTCTAATTTAAAGATTACTCGACACGTTAATACATAATAGATTAGTACTTATACTCGAATTTTTCCTTACAACATTTGTGGAACTGGTAGAGTTATAATAATTTTTTTTTTTGTGTAGAACCAGTGAATAAATTATTAAAAATGTCGGAAATTAAACTTATCCCTAATAACTTAACTAAAATAATACCAACATTTAGCGGCGAGAAACACCATTTAAATTTATTTTTGGGTAAATGTGAATATATAATAAGTAACTTTAAATCATCCGATGTGCACAATGAATATATAATGCAAATCATTACTAGTCGTCTTACGGGCGAGGCTACGTCGCTTATCAGTGAACGGGAAGATATAGAGACGTGGGCACAATTCAAGGAATTTTTTTTTAACTCACTTCGGCGACCCACGTAGAGAGGAATGTTTAGCCATAGAATTAGAAACTTTAAAGAAACACCAAAATGAAAATTATACAGATTTTTGTGGTCGTATACAATCAGTTAAATCATTGTTATTATCGAAGGTTAATCAAATTGGCGATAAAAACTTAAAAATAAGTAAAACTATTATTTATAATAACACCGCTCTGCAGGTTTTCTTATATAACTTATCCGAA